AGGAGAAGTGTCATCAATTTTCCATGTGTGCTCCTATATGCAAGGTAGGAAGTTCCAGGATGTGGCTAGGCTAGGGACAATGCAAGAAGTACAGACAATGCTTGCAAAAATGTACTAATTGGACTAATTTATAATTTTTATAGGAATGGTTTTCCTCAAAGTAATTTTCAGGCAATAAAACCAGTTGTGACAATATTGTAAACATGATCTGCTGTTATTTAAAAGTTGGGTTTTTTCATGAGTACACATTAGGGTTGATCAGGACAAAGTAGTATGGCATCTGACAGCCAGAACCTGTCTTATGTTGGATGACACCTATTGCAAGAGATGTCTGACTTAACACTCTTTTCAGTTTTGGTTAACACAGTTTGCTAGAAGAATTGATCTAACTCCTGTGGAGACCTGTTGATAATTTGGAAGTTTTGCAATTTTTTGTCTTTTGGTAGTACAACATGCTGTTTGAAACCATTTCAAATGATTGCATCTGCAATGCTAAGAGGTTTGCTCTTGGATTCAACTCACATACTGTTCCTCAAACTGGTAACTCAGTCAAGATCTTACTCATGACAGTAAGTACCACCTAAAAGCTGCACATTGCAGCCAAAAATTTTAGATACAAGACACATGCAAAGTTGATGCATTTACTTATTGAGCATTTGATGCAGTTAAGCAAGACTGGAAAAAAAGTCTTAAAGGTGAAGTGTTGGTGAAGTTCTTTCTTGGCTTTGTGTGACCAGGCTTTTTCTCAGCTGTAGTAAGGTTTTATCTGGTAAAGCTTCTTTAAATAGCATGGATACAGAAGTGGATCAGAGTCAGGGAATAGAATACTTCATAAAGGAGGGAAGTCTAAAAATGCACTGAAGAAGCATAATCAACCATACTTTAATCACAAAAAGAATTTCCACAGTCAGACCTTACACATAAAAAAATAAAAAAAAAAAAAAAAAAAAATCAGACTAAGCCATTCCTAATTGAGTGGTTGTTCTCAGAGTAGAGAAGTCATTCCTAGTCCACAAATAATTCTGCATCTGGCTTTGCTTAATACTATGCATGTCGTTATATTTTGTTAATTTTCTTCCCTGACCTTGCCCATCTTGTTACAATGAAAGTTCACTCAGCAGCTGATAAGGAAAGCAACCAAATGTAACACTGAGTGACTAAGCAAGAAAATATATGCAAGCAGTATTTGAAGGTCTTGGAAAACCCAAACATGGTTTTACACTGCTCACCACGGACTCAGCAAAAAAGGCTAAAAGAACTTGAAAATTTTCACTCTCTACATCCTAATGCTAGAAGGTGCTAGAATTAACACAGGATGTGCACAAGAAAGCCTGGACTAGGATCAAATGGCGGTACAGAAACACATGGCTGCAGAAGGACCAGCTTCACCAGAAGCTACAGAGCTGCACATAGCTCACAGGGATTCACACGGGATTTCAAGGGCAGGGCTGCCACCAGAGCTGCGCTGACACAGACACTGGCAAGTGTCACCATTCCTGCAGCAATGGAGGCTGGTATGGACAGGGGGGCTGGAAACCACAGCAGCCATGGGGTTACAAACCCATACCGATTGTGGAGGCACAGAACAGGCCGACATCAATTCAGCTATGCCTGCCCCAGGGATGGCAAAGGCACAAAGCAGACACCATGGAACAGGAGTCACTTCAAGAAGTTCAGTTAAATCTGCCCTTCAAAAAAAGCTGATGCGGTCAGAAGAATATTAAAAAAACAAACCCAAACAGCATAATTACTGCTTTCTTCATGCTTGCAATCACTACTCAGTCATTCCTTTTTCATCACATGAATGCATCACTGTCAGAAATTATTGCCTGAGGACCTAGACTGAAACCAGCTCTGCAATCACATTAAATGGTCTCTGTGCAGATGCAGAAGCAGAGTTTAAATTATCTTTTAAACTATTTTTCCAAATAAGAAATACAGTAAGTGGAACATCTCAATAACAATTAATCACTAACAATTAAAAACATAAAAGTAATAACTTTATTCTACAGCTGCAACAATTTTAGTAAGGAATTAGCATTGAATGAAGATGACTGCAAATGAAAGACTATCAAAACCCAAGAGTGTACTGAAACACTTTAAAGGTTTCACCTTAGCTTGTGTGAGTGAAGAGTAGCTGTACATATGTGGCTACACAAATAATCTTGCAGGTCTTTCCTGTAAGTTTCAACAGTTCTCATAGATTGTGCAAGATCAACCTTTGGTGTTCACTCTTGGTGTATACCAAACACACTTCGCAAAACTACTGCATCTGCATAATAGACAAGTTCAAACTCCCCGGAATAACAAAACTATTAAAAGTGTAGCTGCTGCTGTGGTATTAAGCAATCTTTAGTGTCTTCTAGGCCCATGGGATGCAGCAGCAGTTCAGTTATTTTTCTTCCCCTAACTTCTGTTAGGCCTCTGGTCCCCTCCTGGAACCACAGCTACTCCCCAGCAGACAATACCAGAGAGAGCCCTACCTTGGCACATCCCAATTCCAGTCCTGTCCCATTGCTATGGCTACAAGGCCACACACGAAACACAGCCCTGTGCTGAGGATAAGACATGGCCATGCCAAGGGGCTCAAAACACGCCACAGACTGGCATCTTGCAAAGTAGGGTGGCATTAAGATGAATTATTTTGTTATAATTCAGTATTGTCTGCATGCAGAAGCACAAGCTATCACAGTGTCCATCCCTCACTTGGTACTTTTAACAAGATTACATGGGGGTCTGTAAACCTGTCTGCTCTTCAACCACAGGTACAGGACTCGAGTAGTATTGCTGGCTACCTTCATTCCAAGGTTTTTAGGAGCCGCTGTTCAACAAAAGCACTGTTTCACTTACATAACACTACTGGTTGTTTTTCTGCTGAAATCTTGTTACAAGGACATTTGCTACCTAAACAGATTGCTAAGAGCATCACCTAAGAGGCCTTTTGCATAGGAACATTAGCGAGTAGAGAATTCAGTTACTCTCATGTCTCAGAGGAAACACTCCCTGACAGCAAAATCACTTCTGCACACTGTGATGCGTATACAAAATCTTCAAGGTATAAAAATAAATTATTCCAAAGCAGTCATTTTATGTCAGTCATACACCCATGTAATTTCATCATGTACTCCTATTCCTCATGTAATTAGACATTTTCCCAACTGGAAAGAAAAACAAAAAAGCAAACTACAAAATAACAGGATCATTTCACAGTGGTGCCATTTAAACTTTTACACCGTGAAAACTGTAAAGATTAATAGAGGCGAAGGACATTTAATCTCAAAGCTTTTATTGAGAACTTTGCTTATGGATTTGTTCTTATCTGAATCTCAATTATCTTCCATGGACTTTATATTCTTCTCAGAAAACAACTGTCTTTGCTATATGTATTAAACTTACTCTTATCTTAAAACTGTGTCCTGTAAGAAACAGCAGTGTTCCGTGAGTTTATTTGCTGTAAAAACATAGGTGAGAATTACTCTTCAGGCACCAAATCAACTACAAATAAGCACAGATGCCTGTAAGTATCAAGCAGGTACTCATAAGAATTTTGAATTTGATAAAAAAAAAAAAAGAGCTACTTTTAATCAAGACTCGTTAGTTTCTCTTAGCCCTCAATAAATAGAAAGCGTAAGGCATGTGGAATCCAAATTCTTTAATGGAGCTGAAGCTAAAAAGCACCGTCTGCCATGTACCCCGCGATTTTCAACCGGGACCTTTTCCTTCTTCCGTCGCAAAAATTTCCGTTCGTCCAGATCACCACAGGCGATCTGGCCACTGCTGCCGGCAAGTCACGCACGGGGGAGAGCGAGCGAGGATGCGCAGGTGGGAGCTGCGGACGCCGGGAGCGGTGGGGCCGCCGGAGCGAGAGAGCAGCAGCCCCCGGCCCCGCTGCCGGCACGGGAGGAGCGGCGGCGGGAGCAGCTATTTGCAGAGCCCCTCCAGCCGCTCCAGCGTGCCCTTCATGTCACGGATGCGCTTGGCCAGGGCGGGCACGGGCTGCATGGCGCGGTCCAGCTCCTCGCAGCGCGCCACCAGCGCATACATGGCGCGAATGCTGAGGTCGGCCGCCTCGCCCAGGCTCTCCACGCCGTCGCGGTAGGTCTGGATGCAGCCCACGCTGAGCGCCGTCAGCGCCTGCAGCCCGCAGTGCACGTTCCGCAGCAGCTCGTCCACCTGCGCCGCCACCTGCCCGGCCAGGGCCACCACGTCCTGCAGCGCCCCGGGGTCGATGGCGGGGATGGAGGACCCGCCGCCCCCCGCCGGAGTCTCGCCCCGCGGGACGCCGCTTAGCCGGATCCTCCGCTCCAGGTTGTTGGCTACGAACTGGGTGAGGCGCCCCTCGCGCAGCACCGTCCCCTCCAGTTCCAGGGCGCTCGCCAGCGTCGCCCGCCGCCCCTCCGACAGCTGCCGCCCCGCCACGGCCGCCCCTCCGCCGCCAGCCAGGCTGAGCGCCTCCAGGCTCCGCTCGTCCCGCCCCCGCCCCTCCGGCGGCGCGGCAGCCGGGCCCGGCTCCTCCATGGCGAGCGACGCGTGCCCGCCCGCTGCCACCGCCCACCGGGGGCGCGCCGACGCCTGTTTACGTCTCCCGCGATTGGCTGAGGGACCCGCGGAGGCGTGGCCTGGGCTGCTCGTGCGGATGCCGATTGGCCGGTGGAGCGCCGCCCGCCCGCCGCGCACTGCGAGCCCGTGACTCGGAGGCCGGGGGCGTGCCTGCCCGGATTGGGCGGCCCCTAGGGGAAGTGGGGCCCACTGGGGCGTGGGCCCGAGTGTTTGTGTCGCTTTCGATTGGCTGCACCGAGGGCAGGGAGGCCGCCGCTCTGCCGCGATTGGCGGGGCGGGGCGGAGAGGGGCGGTGCTGGCGCCGTCCGCGCACCGCGGTTGGCGCGGAGGCGGAAGTGGGCGGGACGCGCCCGGGTAACAACACCGGGGAGCTGCTGGTGGCTCACCTCACTCCCCCGCCATGTTCTCCTAGCGGCGGCTCCGGTTGCGCCACCACTTCTTCGCCCCATCACAAAGCCCGGGCAGACCCACCCCAGTAACCCGACCCGCTCGTCCCTGCTTGGGCTTGACCCCTCTCCCCGGCACAACTCTGGGTACCCACGTCCTACCATGGTTACCACCACGGCGCCGCCGCCCTTCCTGGCTCGGATCTCGGCGGGCACCGAAGACCCGCGGCGGCTGCCGCCCTCCGCCCTGCTCCAGCGCCTCCGGCGCGGGGACAGCAACTGCGAGAACCAGCCCAGCTGCTGCCTGGCGGGCCCGGGGGGCAGCGCCCGCCCCGCGCTGAAGAGGGTGCGGCGGAGGAAGGGAAAGATCCGGCCCGGCCCCGCAGGGCTCCTGCCCAGCCGCTACCAGCAGTACCAGCAACACCGCGCCGGGCTGGGGAGACGGACGCCGCTGGGAACCGACTTGGTGAAGGACGCCCCTCCGGATGAGCCCCCTGCGCCTGCCCCTTCGAGACCCGCGCCCGGCAAACCCCTCAGGAAGGAGGTAAAAGACAAGGCTGCGCTACTTTCCCTCGCTCCAGGCCGCTCCCGGTGACCGGCGAGCCGGCCGGCGGTGTTCCCTTTCCCCCGGGGTGGGGGGGAACCGCGAGCGGGGCTCCCCCCGCGGGCGGTGAGGGGGGACCGGGCGGGGGGGCCGCAGAGTTTCCGTTACGCTCGGCCGGGGCGGGGCGGGGCCGAAAGGCGAACCGCGGGCGGCGATTGGCTGCCCGCCGCTGACCAATGGGCGCCCGGCGCTGCGCCCCAGCAACAAGCCGGATTTAGCCCTGCCGCTGGCCGCGCGCCAGCCCCGCCCCGCGCGCGCCGGAGGCGGGACGTGCGTGCCGCGCAGCGCCCCATGGCGGCCGGGGGGGCTACGCGCCCTCAGCCCGCCGGTGCCGGCCCAGCGGTGGGATAAGCGAGAAATAGCGGGGAGAAGGCTGCTCGGTGCCCCTCGCCTTGCCGAGGTGGCCCCGACGCTTCAGTAAGTGTCAGAGTCGGTGAGGGAGCGTGGAGGAGAAGAGTCGTGGCTGACTTGGTTCTTCTTTGTCTCCGCAGTTCTTAAAAAACAAGATGGGAAAGACAGAGAAGGCGGCCGTGCCCTACGGCCAGCCCGTTCACAGCTTACACCTGTGTGAACAACCAAAGATTAACAGGCAGAAGAGTAAGTGTAACACGCCAGTGACGAAGATCGCCTCGGCGAAAAAGATAGAGAACTTTTGGCAGGATTCTGTGTCACCAGAAATAGTTCAGAAGCAGGAGAAAAAGCCACTTAAAAACACAGAAAACTTCAGAAATGCCAAGTCCAAGAAACCAATCTCCCTAAATGAAGTGAGCCAAAAAGAAAATTATGCTGGGGCAAAGTTTAGTGACCCACCATCTCCCAGTGTCCTTCCAAAGCCTCCCAGCCACTGGGTGGGTGGCACATCTGAACTGTCTGACCAAAACAGGGAGTTGATGGCAGTCCATTTGAAAACTCTCCTAAAAGTTCAAGCATAGTTTCCAAGATCTCTTGAGTAATTGGCAAAGAAAACTCCATCCAGGAAGCTTAAACATGCCTTGTTGCAACAAAAATTGCAAAAGACTGTCAAGTCTTATAATCACATAAAAAAAAAAATCCTTGTATTATATTTTTTATGGTTGTGTAAATAGTGTACATCTTGTATTATGTGTATATTCTTGTTCATACTTTGAGAGGTACATTTTAGTTTTGTTATGAAAGGATGTATTTTGCACTGCCTGATTGGTAGATGTCTTGTATATAAAATATGGACAATTTTACGTGTGTGCTTGACACATGAAGACTTGACTTGCTTTGCACAAGGTAATGAAAATTTGGAAGGAGAGTACAGCTTTCTGATTAAGGTTCCAGATCAAATGTGAATGTTCTATTCGTGCACTACTGACAATAGTTTTACATTCTGTTTCCCAATCAAGTATAAACATGGAATTTTCATACAAATGTGAAGTTTTGCCCTCTGCTCTGGAAACTTTGGAATTCCTGTTCATCTGTTCGTTTTTAAAATTAACTGGAATTTGACTAAAATTCCAACCCACCAATTTGAGCACTGCTGATTTCTTTAAAAAAGTTAAAAAAAAAACAACCAAAAAAAAAACCAAAAAAAAAACAAGGAAAAAAAGGAAAGAGCAGAGCTTTCTGCCAAAAATTCAATTGATCACTAAAAAATTAAATAAAACAATTTGGCCTCCCCTTACACTTGTCTCTGTTTTTCTTTGAGTGTGTGTCTGTTAATTCAAGTATGTGAATTGAAATCACTTTATAGCCTTCTAGTGCATTGGTAGAAATACTTCGTCTTTTAACTATCTTAGGCAAAATTAGGAGATTAATAGTGCACCAAGAATTCCTTATGTTTAAAAAAAAAAGTCACTTTTGTGGCAAGTCGTTCTAGGATGTTTTGTTTGTTGAAAACAGAGTTCAAGTAAGTTGGGCAGTTATACATGTAAATTCATGCAGTAATGCTCCTTAAATGTTTTTATACTAGGTGGTTGTTAAACGAGTCAACACTGAAAAGTAGCAGTTACTGAAAATGAATAGAGCTTGTCGAATTTTGTATTTTTCACCAGATTTGTCTCTTGCTTATAGCTGTGCTGGAAAATACATCCCCTTACTTAAAATTATTGAGGAATTGGACTGTGGATTAGTCTGACAGGCATGTTGAGGAGGTAACAGATTTGCACTTATTTTCCTAATCTCGTGTTTAAATAAGATTAATACTAAGAAGGATGTGAAATTTACATAAAATAGAAAAGCATTTTTAAGTTTTTGGAGCCACCAAAAAAAAATACACTCTCTGTACACTGGTGTCCTAGGAGAGGAGAGGTACGTAGGAAGAAAACGGCTGCTTGTGTCCAGCTGAGGTGGCTCCCTAGAGTGAACAGCATCTTCAGAGATACAGCTTAAGCAGCTTTAGGTGTGTTCATGCTGCAGCTTTGGTCCAGAGCACCTCTTCATTCCACATGGGGAAGTTAGCAGGATTCATTAGTACAGCCCTGACATGAGCTTGGTCAAAAGCTTAAAAACTAAGGATTTTTTGGCTTGCTTGTAGATGTTGGTTATGTAATTGTAAAATTAGACTATTTAGCTACCAATGTTCTAAACTAAGGGTTGAAAAAAAATGTTTGGTTTACCCCAAAGAATTAGAGGTTCACTGTCTTGCAAAAGACTGGTATCGGTGTAGTCGAGGTCAGTGTGTGGCTTCAACAACCCAATTTCCTGCCTAATCTAAATACTGTCTAATTTAGTGTCCCCCATCCTCTGTTCTGAAAAGGAACAAAACCCCTCCTGGTTTTCTGTTTGTGGGATTTTTTTTTTTTTTAATGAACGGTATTAGGGCAAAGAAAAACGTCACTGGAATCTCGCCGAGGATGACTCAAGGAGACTGTAAATCTGAGTTTGCTATATTAGGTAAATGCTGTATTGATCTGCCGTTGTGCTTTTTTTTTTCCCCTTTTGCCCGGGTGTCATCCAAGTGCAAAGCAAAATGCTTTAACGATTGCCCATAGCTTTAGGCAATGGTTAATTTTATCTGGTCACCGTGAATCTTGCTAACTAGCTTGACAAGAGGGCGTTTCCAAAAGACAGTGAGTTGGCATTGTTTAGAAGGCTGTGTCCTTTTTCCCCCTGATTATTATCTCATTGCCATCAGCCTCTTCCTTACCCTTCGGAGCTTACTGAGTGAATGCTGGCTCTGATCCTGGATAAAATTTATCAAAGTTACATACCTCTTTAATCCTGCCCTGATTTGCCAACATATCCCTTAGGGTTAAAGAATTCATTAAATGTTAATTGTTAATAGTTCTCAGCTCCTCAATCAATTCTTTGAGAGCTGGTGGTTGAGACTACTGAAGTGTTGGGAACTTAAAACTTCCCGTAACTTGTTGGACCCTAGAGGGTAAGATAAGCCTGGTCTTTCTAAACAGTAGCAAAAACCCCAAAGCTTATTTAGCCCACGTCTGTGTCAATGATCCCACAGAAGTGTTGGAGCACTTCATGTTTCTGTCTTCCTGAGATCTTTGGGCTGAGCCCCTTCCTGCACAATGAACTGGTTTGTATATTAGGCCTAAGGACAACATGAACTTCAACATGACCAGCTGAAAATCAGAACGTGGTCATCTTTTTCGATCATACTCTGCACCATACTTGTCATTTTCCTGGTTTTTCCCTTTATGTTTCTACAGTATCATCTTACAGAGATTTTCACTCTCAAGATTTCCTTCACTTTGACAGATTCCTTTTCCCAGTTCCCTGAAGAGGAACTGTTGTATTACATGAACATACTCTTTTTTAAGAACCAGTAAAACATTAGTGTCATGTTTGGAGGGCTTGTTTGCAGTGTAATATAAAAATCTGGAGTGACACTTAGGGAGAGACCAGTCTTTAAGGAAGAAAATGAACAAAAATCAGTGGATGTGTTATCAGCTAGTCATGTGTCTGCTGTACAGGAATTAAATAAATACCTTATTAAATCTTCTGATTTCATTAAGGAAACTGAATATTAGCTCCTCAGTTAGATAATGGAAATTTTTTTTGTTTGAAAGTCTAGTGCAATGCTGTGCAAAACTGCAGGGGAATCTACTGAGAGCTAACTACCACCTTATTTTAAACGGTTAAATGTTCTGCGTTGATGGTTCTGAAATTTAGCTCCCACGGAGGACAGATGTATCTGTTGTTGGGTTGTCGTGCGTGGCTAAGGCTCAGCCCATTAGACAGTTTCATTAATAATGGCTGGCTTGGTGCTCTAAGGCTGAAATGTTTCTGCCTCCTAATGCAACAGGAGCTAGAAATCCTATGTGCATTCGAACTCTATTACACTTTCAGAGATTCTGCTGAATTCTGCTGAATACTTGAGCAATCTGCATATGAGACTGTAAATTTAATTTAATTCCATCTGATGAATATTTTATCTGAAGCATGTAATTTTAAACCGTACTTTAATTATTTTCAGATTATTTTTTGAGCTTTTGCATTATAAAACATTTGATAACTGTCACACTTGAGGATTTTTTCTTATTTAAACAGTTTTGAAATCAAGTACAAAGCTGTGTAGATTGTATAAAGCCTGGAGATTATAGATTATGTTTCATTGTAATTTTAAACATAAGTTTATTTTCTACATGGAGTCATAGAATCATAAACTGGCTTGGGTTGGAAGGTACCTTGAAGATGACCTAGTTCCAATCCCCTTGCCATGGGCAAGGACATTGCTCTAGACCAGGTTGCTCAAGGCCCGATGCAGCCTGGCCTGGAGCACCTCCAGGGATGAGGCATCCCCAGCTTTCTCTGGGTAATCTGTTGCAGTGCCATACCACCTTTATAGCAAAGAACTTCATCCTAATATCTAATCTAAACCTACTCCCTTTCAGTTTGAAGCCATTCCCTCTTGTCCTGTCCCTGTGTGCTCTTGTAAAATGTCTTCTCTCCATCTTTCTTGTAGGTTCCCTTTAGGTTCTGGAAGGAAAGTCTTGATGCTTCCATTATGCAGTTAAACACATTCCTTATTTTCTTCAACAGCTTCTTGTGGTCTTTGAATTTTGGTTTTACAATGCATTCTTTAAATATTTCTTTCATATTATATGCTTGACTGAACTTTTTAAGGGGATTTTATTTTCTGTTGTAATTTCTAAGATGGTATTCTCTTAGGAATAGGCTGGTTCTTACCTGAAAGAGGCTATGATGTAAGTAAGAAGTAAAGTTGTAAAATGTAAATATCTACCATGAACAACTGATGCTACATTGTTGTACAGGAACTACAGTGTTAAATATTTTTGATAATGAGAAATAAATATTTAGTTGCTGTTTCACTAGAAAAGATAGATGAAGGGCATATCCATCAATTATGGAGAAACACATTATCCAATAAAAGGACCTAAGTGCTGAAGTTGAGTAATAGAATGTTATCAGCAATTTTGAGGCTGTGAACTTTCTGGTTTATTCTGAGAGTGTAGGAAAATGTTATCAGAGCTAAGACAGGAAGGTCAAAAATTCAGCTAAATTTGAAAAAGTTTCCTGAGGAATGAATTTGCACAACAAACATGTCCTAGCAGAGTCTTCCCCTGTGTTGAAGTCAGCTTTCCTCTCTAACTTTTTTCCCTATGGGGTAATAAAATCTTATTTGTTCATCTCCAGAAAACAGGCCTTTAGATTTTGCAAAGCCCTGACTCTCTTGGAATGCTGCATTGGTACTTTTATTTAACCTTAGCCTGGTGGCATTACTACAAGTGTGTGGCAGATGCATCACTTAGTCTGAGTGGTTCATTGTCTTCAATTTGAGAACTAGGCTGGTTATGTGCACTTACAGTGTAGGTTACCAGTGGTCAGTAAGCTGGTGCGATTTCCCTAAATTATACCTGGAAGAGGAAGTGTTTGGGGATCCAGGACTTTTCTCGTATTTATAGTCAGACTTTGCTGACTCATTTGTTGTAGTTCAGTAAGTGGCTGTATGTATTTCAAGAAGCGGTGTAATCATCATGGCCATTGTCCCATTCTTAAGGTCATAAAGCAAAAGGTTTTGAGGAGATTTCTTTTTGTATTAAGGATGCCATTTGCTCTTTTAATGAAGCAGTGTGCTTTCACCAAGTAGGCCTTTGAACACTTTAATTAGCTAATATCCTTATAAGTGGTCATGGCAATGGCCATCAAAATAAAATTTACTTTGTTTTTCACTTCCTGAAACAAGACCTGGAGCTACATTTAATAAAGGGCTTAATATATAGAGAGTCAGGCTTTCCTCTAGTTTCTCTCATCACCTGATTCTTGTGTCTTTTACTGGCTAGTGACATAGTTGCACAACAAAGAATAAGATGTTCCCTTACTTAAAATGATACATCATTTATGATCTGTAATTTGCTTCTATGTGTATATAGTATGAAGCTTTTGTAAGTTTCATTCCTAGCACCAGCATATTCACAAATTGTATATTATCGTATTTAGAATATCAATTGTAGGAATTAATGAAGTCATAAATTGATGGACCCTATCCAAATTTTAGACGTTCTTTGTATGCAAGTAGTAAAAAAGGGATGATGTTTTTGTGCCCCTTCTCCTGTGTACTAGGAGTGGAAAGGGAAAAATGGCAAGACAGGGAGAACACCCTGAAAAACAAGGTCAACTAAGAGATGAGAGAAGAAGTGTAGATGTCACCATTATTTAATGTTGGAAGGAAAGATACTGCAAGAAAAAAATTATCTCCTGAGATAGGTCATGTTACTGCAACTTTAAGGAATTTTAATGGCTAGATGATACTCAGTTTGCTTCTACTCCTTGACTTGGACCATCTCAAAAATTACAATGTGAGATGACAGATAAGTAACTGACTTGTTCTCTGATTGCTCAGTACTTACTGTTCATTACTAGAAATTGCACCTTGGTGCAGCATTCTTAATGGTAAGCACTGCTTCAAGTGTCAAAAAATGCTGCCCAAGTGCTTACTACTCGCGGGTTTTCACGGTTTTTTAGAAGTAGCCAGATAAAGTATGTACATTACTGTATGTTAGAAGCCTGCTGTGTTTTACAGCTGGGAAAACAGGCGTGCAGAAGGGAACTAATTGGCTTGAGGTCCCTCAGTAGGCTGTTCGTTCACCCAGAAAGTGAACCATAGTGTCCGGAGGTCCACCTAGGTTTTGCCTTTGCCAGTACATATTGTTTGTTGTGTGTGTGCTCTGCAGGTCTTCCTTATCTCACTGTGTAGTATGTAAAATGCAGCTAATACAAGGTTCTACTTAGAAATGTTTGTAATTTGACAGGACTGGTGAGATAAATGAGGATGCACCTAGGTTTTGTGTTGTATGCAGTTTTATTACACAATAGTTTTAGTAATTTCCACACTAAAGATGACTGTTACACTTTTCTCCACCCTTTTTTTGGACCCTTTGATACAATATATAATCTATACACACCACTGTCCTCTCCCCATGACTAGCAGTGGGGAGGCTGATGATAAGTCAGCAGTTTCTGCTCATTAGCTGCTGCTCTCCACTGCTGTACAAAAATGCTGCAGCCAGCAGCTGGCTGAGAGGGCCATGGATATGAACAGTATCCTCATAGCTCCTTGAATTTACATTTGCTTTATCTTTAGCCTTTTATTAGATCAGAGAGGCCCAGTCTTTCCCAAGACAGAACATCTTCCACCAGGAGGACAGAATGTGCAATTTGCGACTGATCCAGTTTTTGTCTACCACCAGCCAGTCCTTCTTAATGCCTCAAGCCTTCCCATCACTTTCCCCAACTGTTTTCTTTACTTTTCACTGCAGCTGTGTCTTTTTTCTTGTATTTCCTCCTAAATGCATTTAATTGTTCCCAGTTTCCCTCACTTCTGGTCAAATGTTCAAACATGCAGTTTTTTTAATCTGAAAAATCAAATTGAGTGCACCACATTATTCTGCTGTGTTCTGGGTACAATTCATCCAAGACAGTACATACTTTTTCCTAGAGGACAGTTCAATTTTTACAAGACGCAATAATTCTCTTGAGATTTCTCCTGTCAACCTGATATGAATTTACCTGTCAAGCCTTGATAACCATAACATACCTCACTTGATATCCTGGAGGACTAGAAACAACTGATGTACTGGTCCACCCAGATACCACAGAATTAATCTGTCAAACACAACTCAAAACGCCAAACAATTAGAGTTTAAGAAGACTTTCCTCAGAGATCAGAAAGTCTGAGGTCTGACCTGGCCTGGTCACTGGCAGGAGGACATACAGGAAGATGCAAATGCAATCTGCAGCTCTGACACTCATGAACCAAGGCTTTTTATCTAATTTTCTAGACTGGGTCTGCTGTTTGAGAGCCTGTCACATGTACAGCCTTCTTGCAGCACGTGTCCAAATGTCCTTAGCTTCCTGCTGTAGGAGGATGGTGGCTGTTGGAGTGTTCAGTGGTCTGAGCAGTTCCACGGTTAGCCAAACATTTCTGACCTGGTTGTCTTGTAGGCGATTCAAGGTAAGAGTTTACACTGCTCCTTTGTGTTTTCTCTCATTTTGGCCAAGTTTTGATCAGTATTTCAAATTGATAATCATTGACACTGAATTCAACAGCAGGCATGTGATTTCTTGTAGCATGTAGGTTAACTTTAATAATGAGAAACTGGTAACACAGGTGCCATTACTTTGTCCACAGAGTCCTTTGTCTACTTTGTCCTCTGATCAACTAACTGTGCCTGTGCACTGTTAGTTCAACTCCTATTTTCAACACTTTTCATTTTCCCTCTTTATTTTTCAGTTATGAATTTTTATTTATTTTATTTTTCTGACTACAATCCTGCTGGGAATACATGCTGAAGCTCTGGAGAGCCATAGCAGGGTAACACAAAAATGAACAAGCAACATACACATTGAAATTTCTTTAGGAAGTGTTGGGGTAAAAGGAGGGGTCAGGTTAGGATTCCCTGTTCTCATGAGCCCCCATCTGGATCACATAGCCACCAGCCTCAGTAATGTTCTGAGACATGCCAGCTTTGATGGCTGTATCAGTGTATTTCAGAGTGTTTAAAGAAGGCAGCCTTCCAAAAAAACCCAGGTTTTCTGGTTTTCCCTTCACAGCCCCAGAAGTAGCACTCAGTAAGAGGGCAGCTCACACCCCTAAATAGCCGTGAGATGGAACAGAAACTTCCGTACAGGCAACACAGCCTGATTTTATCCTCTCCCCTGTGGCAACACTGAAGAGTTAACCTGTATTGCTGTTACACCTGATTATTTCCTGTCTTCCAAACTGTTGTATATTTATAGGATTCTTAACACACACATGCCCTACTTTTCAAATGCTATGGGAAAACAGTGTGAAGATGTTGGGGAAGGGTAAAAGTAATCTTGATCAAGTCTTGCAGCCTTGATCCAAATGCCATGTTAGTTACAATTTTCTTAGGAAGAACTTAGCTCACTTTTAACACTGCTGAGATGGTGATGTGGGCAGCGCTCTTGGGACTGGGAAAGATGTGCTTTGCCTCTGGGCTTCAGTGAGATACAGAAGAAGGTAAAGGAGTGGGAAGCTGATACCTGATGATCAGAAACCTTTACCTGACATAGAAACCTTTCTCTATATTGTCTTCCTCAGCTGCAGCCAGCCTCCCTGACATTGCTTTTTAGGGACCTCTAGCACACCTCCACCCTTCCTTAACTTCCGTGCCAGAAATGTAAGGAATGCATTTTATACACAAAGTAACCACGGACACATTCAGTAACTTTTTGGTTCACTTCCAGGGAGCATTGACACCCGGTGGACACAGAGATGACAAGGAAAGAAAAGAATTAACAGACAGAAGGTTAAAAAACCACATTAGTACTGACAGAAAAGATGAAACGCGCCATGTGCACATGCGATGCAAAAGAACACTGTTACGTTTGCTTCAGCAGATGGAGTTACTGCCGCAGGCATCTTTAAAGCACATACGTTTTGTTTTATGTATACTATGCATAAGGGCCCTAGGAAGTGAGTAGGAGGGAAAACCCAGTGTCGAGGCCTCAGAGGGCATAGGCTGAGTTTCCTCTAGTGGCTTGCTTTGGCATTCCACAGGGGTGGCCCCGAAAGGACCTATCTGGGGTGCAACAGCTCATCCCTCCTCATTACAGCCTTGCCCAGAACCCATGTTTGTATTAGGCAGCTGGAGGGTATAATCACTGAGTAATTCTTGGTTAGGGCCTAATTGCAAGTTAATTTAAAGTCAGTTATGTAAAAGATTAAATCAATCCTTCCTTGTATTTATTTTTCATCACAGGCAGATTCAACCACTCTTAAAAATTCTATATCTGCTTTACTTTGCTGCTTCATCGAGTTGATGTCCACTGCTAATATTTGCTGCTGCTAATACCTGCATTAGGCAGAGGCTTTGTGAGATCACAGTGAGTCAGAATAATCTATGTAATGTCGTCAGGCAGTTTGGGAAAAGGCTCTGCAGATGGAAAACACCGCCAGCAGCAGCTCAATCTGTATTTGTGGCTCAGTGCAATGTATTTATTTGTAGAGAATAGCAGGCAGTAATTTATTAGGCAAAAATATTTTTGAATTATTGTTGTACTGGTGTGTCAGAACAATGAAAGAACAGCAACCAAAAAAGAATAGCAGAAAACCAACAAAAAAGTTAATGTTTTTGGTTTTTTTTTCAGCTCATGTTTTACCAAAAAAGCAGCTGGAGATCAGAACAAATGGATTAGGCAGGGAACCTTAATTTCTAAAAGAAAACATCCGGTGCACTTTTGGCACCATGTACAAAATACACTAGAAATAGTGTCTTTTGTAAGACACAAGCTCATATTAATGACTGCATCCCTGGGGTTTTAACAATTTAGAAAAATCACATTTCCTTCTGCAAACTAATGAACTTAGGAGAAAATTTCAATAAATAAAACTGTGTGTTGTTGCTCTCTATCCCGTCCTTTTATCACAGGATAAACAGTGTAGAATATGTCATAAATCAAAGGCCTGAAAGTTAAATACATATGTCTAACCCTGGCTTCAACTTAACAGTCAGCAAACAGAAAGGGACATGTATATTTCTGGAAACTATTTTGGAGGAGATTATAAATAATTCTGGTTTTCAGAACTTCACTAATTTATCTAGGCTGGTGCATATTGTCAGTACTAACCTAGTCAAAACACATAGAAGAGATAGGTGTCAAGTCATATATTCCCAAAGAAATCTGTAAGTTTTTAGAGAGTGGTGTAAAATACAATGCTTTTTCATTTCTCTTTCAAACCTCCCTTCTTTTTACATATTTGTAATTATTTTGATTAATTATGGTATTTATAAATGTAAGTAAGTTACAGTACTTTTCAGGCCTGATGGATTTTAACTTTAGCAATATTTTTCAACACTGCATTTTGTAGATTAGATGCCCATTAATTGATAAATTAAAGATTCACTGCTACATGAATGTACAGGCAACTTCATGGCTAATGAGAGCTATTACTCAAATGGCAAAAATATTTAAGCAAAAAGAAGGAGGCCTTTTAAAGTTCCTTTTTTATTAAAAACATCCGAATTACTGAAAACAACTTATTTATAATATACCACCTCACTCTGAATTTAGGACCAATCAAATTATATGCTTGGACTGTGCTCATACTTTATAACTAACACCAGTTAAAACATTCAACATTTCAGTTAAAAGCCTAAAAGCCATACATTATCACAACAGAAAATCCTCCTCTACATAGGATAAAACAAAAAAAAAACAATTACAGCTTATCAAAATGTCCCTAATACTTTTAACTGAATATACTTAATTTTGACTTTTAAAATAAAATTTCTATATGAGATACCATATGATTACTTGTCTAATTTATCTGTGCGTCACCTCTCTGTGATTAACCTAAGCCTTTTAACAATACCCCAACAAACTAACCCAACTGTTCACTTGACCCAAATGAGCTAGCTGCATTTCAGAGTATGGATGCTATTTCATACTCACTCAGCCTGGCTTTTTGTCCAGTTAGCTGTTTTGGTTTTGGTTTTTGTGGTTTTTTTTTATTAGCAAAGCTTTTGACAGGTTTTGCAACACTTGACAGTTTAACTTCAGTTCTGTTCTGGAGGTGCTCATGACATCACTTTAATGTCACAGGCACTTGAACAGCATCTAGGTGCAGAACATCAGAAACTGAAGTTCTACTCTGCTTTCTCACATAAACAGTCACTCTATTTAATGGAGGTCTTGGAGTGTCACTGCACCAGGACAGATTTTCTCTTGACAACAGAAACACCAGTTCCTGAACCTGAGGACATTTTCTGAGAGCTTGACACTGATTTTTCCACATTCTTTGACCTTTCTTGTAATGACTCAGACTGTGACTTTGTCCTTGATTACCCCATTAATATACAGTATCTTGGAAATGATCTGGAGTGAAACTGAGACTGTCATCTCAGTTCTCAAATCTCAGCTGTGGAAGTGTCACAGCGTCACCTATACTCTGACAGGCAAACCCAACAGACTACTATTACAGCACGTCTTCAGGAAAACTATATTTTTTATAGCAGAAATTACATCTTAGTCATGTATCCTTGATCTGTCTTGTCAATTCTGGAAACAGTGTTCATATATATTGTTTAGTCTTATATCTAGATACCTCACTGGTTTTCATATTTAAGAACAGTTTCTTTGCATTCAGATTTCTGACAGCTCTGGGTTTGTACTACCAAATTAGTCATGCGAAGAATAAAAAATATTGCTGTGAATTGAATTATATCATCGGCAGAATAAATACAAGAAAACATTTCAAAGACAGCATTATCCCTACCATCTCCTCAAAAGAAAATGGTGCTGGCAGGTTTTTGTGAATCAAGGGCTCTGTTCAAAGTGATTTCATAAGAACTTTTCTATATTCTACATTTAAACTGAGTATTTCTGTCTAAGCACTGAATCTAGATAAAAGATAAAAGCAAATGACATATGTAACAGATGAAAATTTAGGGACATCCTGGCCATGAAGCTAAAAAAAGCTTCACTAATGATTTAGTCCTTTGTAATAATGGGATAAAGTGCACCTCACACTGGGACATTTACCACATGTCTGGACAGTTCTCATTCTTTGGCTTTTTAACTAAGCATGGGTCTCCTGTCCAAACTAAGGAGAGGACATTCAAAGTGCTGGAAGAGATATTTCTGAGAAAAAGCAGGTACAAACATGCAGACAAAACAAAATCTGTCAGAAAATATCACCATGGTCTAAGTAAGACCTGACTCTATCGATGCTTACACTCATGCTTATTTTTTCTATTAGTGAGTGGCCTTAGTGATGTGACAATTCAGAACAAAACTGAGCAGTACTGAACCTGTGCTCCTGCTCAGAGGCTTAAAAAGGCCCGTGTTTCCACACTAGCCATGAAGTTACTAATAATTTCCCCACAAACTCTGTATACACCTTTGTAATTTTCATTCCCCTTGCATAATGTGTATCCCACAAAGGGCAGTAAGGAATCAAATGTGATGGATGGTGGTAACCCCATGGACTAGGGTGAGAACTGCCTTGTGAGAGGGGTGTGTTGCTCCTATACCATCACCTCAATGATGTACTCATCCAAAGGGCTGTTTGTGCATCCTTTTGAGGCAGGAACAAACATGTTGTGTGCTACAGGCCATCAATTTGACGGTTTCTAGCCCTCCGTAGCCAAGGAGGTGACATCAGATCTGCTGCCATGGGAGGGCAGCAAGGATTTGTGCCTGCTTGATGGGAAGGTCTGTGCACAGCACGAGGTGGTTGCAGTGCCTGTATGCCTCCCTGGGACCTCCAGTGGCCATGGCTCATGGTTTGTATTAAGTGAAGGAGCAGAAAGAGATGTCACAGCTGTTGTAGAAAGTGAGATGTATATTTTGAGGAAATCAATGAGTTATAATATTTTTTTCCTTCTCTTTCAAGGCAGGTATATGGCTCCAAAGTGGGGTATCTGAGATGTTTCTCATGTAAGCTGAATACCTACATACTGGGAGAGCTGCAGGTCTAGCTGCACATTTGGAAGTTTGGAAAATTCCTCTGGCACTCCAGAAAAATTGCTTTGCGAAAGTCCTCCGTATTAAACTCTAATGCAAACAGTACTCCCAATACCTGACCATAAGATAATGCAGGCTGGAAGGGACCTCAGGAGTCTTCTGGTCCTGCCTCCTGCTCACAGCAGGGTTGCCTGCTAGGTCAGGCCAGGTTACTCAGGGCCATTTCTGATCATCTGAAATGGAGCCTGGCAAAGGGTTGGATGGCTGAATGCCTTCAGCCTTTCACTGTCATGCAGGATTCTCCCCATCAGAGAGTATAAAAATATCTCCATAACGCAAACAGGTTGGGAAAGCTTTAAAATCAATCTGTCCCTGTTACCTGTATACTGAGTTAAAAGGGTTGAAAGATATAAAATGTTTAAGGATTACCAGGATTAAAAGAATAAGCAGATTAAAAAAATCACAATGGGTCTTCTGTAAAATGTTTTGATTCTTCAATTGTCATCTAAAATCAAATGGTTATTTAGTCTAATGTCCCTTGAGAGGATTTGTCCCAGATTGGTGGGAAAGCATATCCTTATGTTACAAACAGGATGCCAAGAACACACACTGTATTCATAACTGAACTGAATGTTTATATGCATTTGAATTGTAAAAATCTGAACAGATTGAAAAAACTTAAATTATCCATACTGCATAATTAATTGGTAATATTGTTCTACAAACAGGGTGCTTAACAGGCTTAAGATAGCTCATTCTTTGCCAGGTAGCAAATAGCACTATTGCTTTAACTGTCCATAAAATCAAGTGAATACATGCTGGAACTGTGAGCTTCATATCCATGTTACTCCACAAGCAGAGCTCAGTAAATCATCTGACCTGTCTGCATATTGTGTTTCACAATAGATAATGTTATCCGGTTTGTTTATTTTTTTTTTTCTTTATACTTTAAGAAGGATTTATATGCTCTTTTTCAAAAGGACATTCTGGAAAAGGCTAGCTACAATAATGAAGGTAGGTAAAATTTATAAAATAGCTGATGAGGAGAGTGAGAACACGATGCTATGGAAATAACACAATTCAGATATTTTCCTACTGAAATTAGCAGTAGTAATAATAGATGGTGTATATCTTAAAGCAAATATAAGAGGAGAGTCGAAAAAATCTGACAATTGCTTTTATGTGTGTGGTGCTGATTGAAAGTAATGGGCTGTTTTATTTTCTTTGGAAAATGAAGTCTTTTTTTGTAAGTATCCTTTAAAAGTAAAAAGTGATACCATAGAATCAGTACCCAGCCTGACTCCAGAAGAGACATTGCTAGAGCTGGAAATTTAATTTTGCTATTTTGAGTCACTCAAACCTTGGACTTTCTGCCAATCTGCAAAGTAATCAGGCTAGAAAATCTTATGACAGAGGCACCTGCTGCTAGGAAACCCAGATTAATATTACCAGCACATACTGAGTAGGCTACTGAACAGCCAACCCATACTAATGATGCCTGGGCTGGGAAGTCAGCTGGCAGCCTCGAGATACCCCATTGTTGGTCCCCTGAGCTCTGCAGCTCTGCAGCTTCCCAGTACAGCACAGACTCTTCTTGACAGAGCAACTTTGCCGTTTCGTTTTCAATTCATTTATTCCAAAGTAGGTCATGCCATGCCATCTGTTGACACTTAAAACCCACAGAAGTTTCCAGATTCTGTGTGGTCTCCTGTAGTTTAACATATATTTTTAATACCCTGTTGCTCTACCTAGCTGCTGGATGTACTCAGACTTCTAATCACAACAGCTTGTTAATCACATAATACAAATGAGTGCAGGTCTTGAAGTAATATACTAGAGGTGAGTATGGCTGAGGGGAGGGAACACAACAAGAAGGGCCTGGTTTTTTTGCTGATGGTGAATCCTGGGCAGTAGAGCTTTCAACTAAGAGGTGATCGTGTCCACCTGCTTTTTGCTTCCCAGCAGCCTTGTTGAAAGCTTAGGAAAGCAATCAGTCCCCAGATAGGTACATAGTGGGTTTTTTCAGGCTGCAGTTAAATTTGCTTCTCTAGTTCTCTAACTGTGGGTATGTGAATTGAAGAGTATTTCATATCCACAGCTGTCTTTAAGTTCCTTGCACAGATTCTCAGGTCTCTGCTATGTGCCTGTTCATTGTGAATTACCCACATACTATGAGAATGATTAAAAAAAAAACCCAAAAGACTAGTGCTCCTGATTTCAAGTAATGACATTCAATTTATCACAGGAAGATTTCTGGAAAGGCACATGTCCACATGGGTGCAATGCTGGCATGGCCCACAACTCCTAACAAATATCCTTGGTATGTGGCACAGTAAGCAACACTGGTAAGTAGAAGGAAGCTCACATACATGTCATATAAAACATACATAAAACACAGGCATTGGTACATGGACATTGTGCCTGAGAATGTAGAAGACGGGCTTTTAATTACAGGAACTGGTCCTGACCACCTTGCTACTAAGTGGATATTAGTAAAGCACCCCAACAAACTGCAGGTCAGGGTCTCTAAAATGTGCTTTAAAAACAAACAGCTTAAGTCTTAAGCAACAACAAACAGGCTGAGGCAGCTAAAGATCAAGCCCTCTTGGGCTAGAAACAACTAGAACACATTACCTAAGTATACCAGATGTCATTGGGCAATGTATGACCACCTCAAAATCATCTTAACCATTAGTGGAAACCAAAATGGATTGGACTAGCTTGTTCAGTAATATGGTTTGATGTCCACTAATTGCAATTGTCAGTTCTTGTTCACAGGTTTCTGGATATACAGGATATCTTTGTTTCCTTGAATTTTAAAAATACAAAAACATATTGGTTTCATTTCACAGTGATGACTGCACAAGTTCAAAATGACCCTGAAATTCTGTCAAAGTTCTGCACGTGTGTTACATTGATTTGAAGAAATCTAACTGTACTCTCATGAGTTATCTGTACAAAATTAGCAAAGTTCATAGTATTGTAAATTAGAAATATGATTATTTTGAGTAGCCTTGTAGACAAATACATTTTTCTCCTTTTTCACTTATCTACTTCTTTCTTTTCCCAGAAAACTGATATCAATTTCAACAAACCTGCAAATTCACTATACCTGTAAACATATTTTTGCCAGCAGTAAACACAGAAGTATACATGGTGAGTGCAAACATACTGTCTACTTATACTTGTGATACTACAAATTACATTTTAAAAAAGACTACAAAAATCATTGTGTGCTATAGTAGTTATAGTTACTGTGTTATTGCTTTGCACAGCCCCACTGTGACTAGATAAAGAATGGGTTTGAATGTATTTTTGAAATTAATATCGTAAGCAAATAATTATTAATGAACACCCTTAAGGCTTGTTGTGTTTGTATTTGCACAATTGGTACAAATCAAGAACAAAAATAATTACTCTTTTTAATGTAATTTACCAGGGTATTATGGGAAATGTCAACACTTAATACAAATGTTTTTATTATTATGTAATATATCATACTTCTGCTTTTTAAAAATAACAACATAAAAGTTTTGAGGGTAAAGAGATTTTCAATTAGACACAGTAAGCTGCTGGTTTTCTGTCTTAATAGCTCTTCTGTACTACTAAATCCACAACAAAATATTTAATAGTAATTTTTGATGTCTAACATGTAATCCATTTAAGATTCCTGTGGATTGCAAATATAAAATAAATTTGCTGTCTATCTGCAAAATAGTATACTCATATGAAATAAACTAGAGGCTTTAAAATATTTTTTTTGAGAAGAAAATGTCCATCTGTATTTAAATATAAATTTTAAAATAGAAAATTGTATATTGAATTGTTTGAGTTGTTGTTAAACAGTCTTCTGACTGTTTAACCCAGGAATACATACTGTCTGTGAACAAACAGCTGTAATACTTGAAAGACTCACTGTATTAAAAATAAAGAACTTAAAGAGCTGCAAAGTACTTTCTTCCTCCAAGGGAATAAAAGAGCTAGGACCTAACAATGGTTCTGTTTGAATCAATAGCAAAATTAAACTATTTCTAGCAGCATAGGATGTAAATAACTAGTGGCATAACTAAAGAGTCATTTTAACATCAGGAAAGGTAAGATTTTTTCCACTACTTTGAAAAGTTTAAAAACACAGTCTAGATTTCATTTTTCACTTACATTTGCAAATACAAAAAGTGTTATTAACCATTTTTAAACTGGGAGCTGAGATAAGCAATTAAATGTGTGGAGATTTGTGTAACAATTTTTGACTTAGTTTCAGCTCTGCCAGGATTTAACAGGGAAAACACTTGGTCTTGTTTGTACAAGGATGGATTAACTCTCCTTTAGAGGTAGTGGGGAGGGGCAGTTATTACCGATGGACAGAGTGCCTGCAGTTTGTGGCTGTAACACACCCACCTGTTTTCTGTGTGTTTGTTTTCTGTGCTGCGGTCTATGAGTCAGCCAGCACACGCACAGTGGGAAAGCTGCACTCCCTGCTCATTGCCGTGCTCCTCTCCTCCCAAAGGTGAGGGATCTCAGGCTTTCAAGAGGAGCTGGCAGCCATAGAGACTTAAGCTTTTCACATCTCATTATCAGTTTTTCCTGCCACTCTGGGCTGTTTGTATTTGTTGCCCAGTTAGTAAGTCATGCTGATGACAGAATGATTTTTGCTTTTATATTTCTTTCATATATATTCTGTGAAAAATGCATATTAACTGATTGGCTCTTCACAAATATTAAATTGAATACTATAGGTGTTATGTTGGAAAGTTATTTTGTAGTACTGTATTAATCCTTTTTAAATATTGTGTTAAAATATAGTTTTAGGCTATACCATAATATTAAAATATAAGCTATGTTTTGTAAGATACATTTTTTGTGACCAGCACAAGGAATGGATAAGATAACCAAGAAATCCTTCACATAGAGATAACAGGAACAGACACCAAAAAAAATCTCAAGACAAGGATTTATGGCCTCTTTATTGGACCGTGCAGACTTCTTCCAGATACCCTAGAGCTGAAAGGATTGATTTACAAGATGAGAGGGAGTTGACAGAAAACAGAAAAATTCCTAGTTTGAAAAGAGTATTTGCATCATATATGAGATATATGAATATGCAACAGGCTATGGCTTTTAAGAGTTATTCCTTTGTTAGCGGACATGCTTTGTTGAGGAAAGCATCCAGGTGTCCGTAATTCTTTGCTTTTTACTGTCCTTTATTGTCCTAACTCTGATTGTCCAAATTCTTATTGCTCTAATTTTTATTACCTTTTTTTAAACTAATTTATTACTATTAAACTTTAAAAATTTTTAAACAAGTCATTGGCATTTTTCACAAATTCATAGCTCTGTAGACTATTCTTATAAATAGTTCCTAGCTAGCTCCAGTACTTTTCCCTACCCTGATAGGCAGAAAGACAAAACACATTCCAGAGGCTCCAAGCCCTGAGGGGTCCAAGGCCCCTATCTTATCTTGATTCTCCCTGGGGAGCCAAGGTGGGCATTTTTCTATATCTGTCTGTTTGGAAGCCTCCAATAAAGTCCAGCCTTTATATTACCTCCTATACTAGTATTGTCTCAAAAGTATGTTGTTTTATTTCTAGGTCTTTAAGGTATGAATGCTATGAAATGAAGCATTGAATTTATCTGACATTAAATAAGAAAAATCTGCTCTTAGAGGAAGAAAGGAACTAAGCATCTAAGCTACAACCAAATATAAGATAACAAATAATATAATACTTAAATAAATAAAACAAAAAAGGCTCATATTGCCAGTAATGGACCTGATTTAGCATCAAGTGTCTTGAAGAAACACATATGTGATCAGGCTGCTTTCATCACAAATCTTTTCAAACTGGGTTAGCAATATGACTGTAATGATGCTGCTACTACAGGAATTATACATATATAACAATTGACATATAGTACAAAGTGAAATAACTACCATTTCACAGATTAAAATATGTATGAATATGTAACAGCGTAAGAAACAAAAGAGCATAGTTGAGGCAGCATTTTTTACTGGAGGAGTGAGGATTCAAAGGCATTTTCTGCTGAGGTAAGACCTCTGATATTTGACACTTTTCTTGCTGTTACGAAAGTAAAATTTGAGTATGAGAGAGAAAGCAAGCAATCAGTAAGTTTTGTGTGTTAAGAGTCTTGGGTATCAATAATTTAATTCCCTGTTTACATTATGCTGTGCATACTTCTAAGAACCCCATAGTAGCTGATAAATTTTCTGTAAGTCTTCAGAGAGACAAACCAAAGAAAGAAATCTAAATTCATATAGATCTACCTTTTTTTACTAGAGTTACCTGTTCTAATTGGCAGTGTTTAAGTCAGCCAATTTTTGAACTTTTCTTGGATTAACTGATGTTCCTTGTTAAAACAATCTCACCGTAGTTGGGGAAAGAAAAAAAAAAAACAAACCCAAAATACCTACAGCTAAGCCCTTGCTGCATTCTTGCAGCTTTCAGAGTGCAAATGAAAATCTGCATCAGAAAAGTACTATTTGTTAAATCAGTCTAAATCTGGCAGAGCTTATACCAGCCTCTGTGGCTAATGGTGCAAGAAAGTGATTGTTTTGAAAATAACTGTGTTGGTTTAAAATATTATTGCCTGTCTCCCAGAGGATACCACCCACATAGTGGAGTCAGCAGACTGAGAACATAGATAACTGTAAGCTGCTTCAGGATAAAATCCAGTGTTTAAAGCATAAAATGCAAAGGGGGGTGGGGGCAGCTTGAATTAAGCTTTTGGACTTTGTACTGAAACAGCTGAGAGGCACTGGTGCCTCATTCTGCCATGAGAGCTGGGACAGGCATCTTTGGCAGGCACAAAGAGCTGGGGGCAGCAGCAAATAGCCAGAGCTGCCTTCTCAGTAAGGGTGTCTGAGCTCTAAGCAGGTCTCTTACCTTTCTGGTAGAGGTTCACAGCATTTGGGCAAATGGTGAAGCCTTAACTGCTAAGTGGAACAGCTAATAAAACACACCATGTGAGGGGTTTCGGATTTAACTCTGAGTATTGTACATGATGTAACCAGACATTAAAAGGGAACAAAAAGCTCATGTTTTCTGTCTCAGTCTGCTCTGAAGTTTTGACTTCACTGTGATTAACTCTTAAGTGGTAACAATGATAGTCTAGAGGGAGAAGATTTCACTTATTGAACCCACCTACCCTGCATTTTTTTCCCTTACTAAGAAATATATAAGACGTGTAGTGGCATCCCTGATCCAGTAATGGTTAAAAGAGACATGGTATGCTTCAGTGACTCAAGCCATTTCTCTTCCTGAGGTCCTAAAAATTCTTCTGCTCTGTTTTGATATTGATACTGTGATCTGACCAAGGAAGCCCTTACCATGCTTTCTTTATAAACACAGGATTCACTTCTGTAGTGTTGTATGTCTTGATACGTACTGCCTAATATAAAGCTATTTGTAGACCAGGCTGGAATGTTATCTTAGGCAGGTCAGTCTGTAGCTCCTACACACAGCAACAGCCTACTTTTGTTTTTAATATCACTGTGCTATTGTTTTTAAAGCTTTGGAGTTTGGCTTGAAATCCAGACCACCCGGAATTTAACAGCAAAACTTTCACTGAGTTCAGTGTGATCAGGATTTCAACCTCAATGCCTAATGTTGCTAACATGGGATGTGGTAAACTTGATCATCCAGTTTTTTATGGCCACAACAGATGTTCCTTCTTTTAGACCAATGGAAAGCTACTGAACTTCACCCACCCTCCAAAACAAAAATACAAGCATTTGTTTACAGCCTGATTCCAGGAATATGAATTGAATTAGCAGCTGTGAGGTTTGTTCTTGTTTATTTATGAACAAATATATGCACAATTCTTGCTTTTCCCAAAGAAATGTTTCCCAGGTTGTATTTCCTCTATATAGTAACAGTATTTTAAGCAGTCTAATGCTCCATTATAATTTGTTTAGCACAATTGAAATATCATCATAGTATTTTTTACCTTGTTTTTTAAACATGGACCAGTATTTTTCCTCTGTCCTAGAAAACAACATGTTATGGTTCTATGGTTTTTATTTTCTAGACTTGTAATTTAGATTGACTATAATACAACATTTCTGTAATCATGACTGAAGGCACAACCTATAGAAAACAAAGGTACTAAATAGAAATGTTTTCTTCCTCTTGAAGATATTAAATGAATTTTCAAATCAGCATAAAAGGTTAAAAGACTGATGCCTTCTCCTAAATTAGAAGAAAATACATGATAATGTAATAAATGAGACCTGAAATTTTCTAATATAGGGAGCAAGAAAATTATTCCTAATTTGAAAGGTACCATCCCATCTCTGGGGTAAATAGCCAGTGGTTCTTCCATACAAACAATAGAATAGGAACAAGAATAGGAGTGCAAAGGCTCTTTATTAAAGGAATGGAAGCCTCATTAACATGCATCTGTTTCTCATGAATAAAAGAAATTTACACCTTTTCCTTTCTCTTTCCTGAATTGGACTAATTTCAGGAGTCATAGCACTGTTTTTATTGTGCCAGATTAAACTTTCTTGTGGCCTTGCTTAGTCTTCAGCTTATGTGAAGATGTTTCCTTGCTTTGCTCACAACCAAGCCCCCCACTTTGCTTTAATACATGCTGCAGCTGTGTTTATTTTTAGTTCTGTGGGCTGTCCTTAACAATGATGCTCCCAGCAGCTCCGTCAGGGTAGGATTTATCAGAGTGGCTGAGCAGCTCACGCTTCCACACATCTAGTCCCACTACAACTTCCTTGTCCTGGCTCTTTGTGGACCTTCGCACAATTTAACTCACTAAACCAACAGGAAATTAGCTAACTTTTTGAAGAAGCCTTTTTTGTGCCATTTTAGTGAATTGCATCAGCTCAGGTAAAGGTCCCGCAAATACCAAAGGCAGCCTAGTGACTGACACAAATTCTTGGCTGGCTGAGGGAAAATCATGGTGGAACTGTGAACTTTTGGAAGCAGAGACCTATTGCGTGTCTTGCAAAACTGCTTCCAGATG